ATGTGTACTATATTGGCTTCATTCATTAAAATTATACTCGATCACTATTCGTGTTTCTGAAAAGCATATGAACACAGAGTCATCTCTGATTCGAATGTATCCTCGTTCTCGATTTCCGTCATATCGGAAGAATGCGATCAGTTTTCTTGTCCCTGAAAACTATGCAGCAGTATCGTCTGAATTAGTCCAACTCGATAATGAATTTCAAGATAATAAAACGTCCATTATCATTATATTTCACACGGGATATCCGCTAAGGAAGGATTTCATACAAATCAATAATGCAACACAGCGACAAGTATTCTTTTTCAATATTGACCATATCTTTTATTCATTTCCACGTGGCTTTGATCCTTATCTAGTCGAACCAACCGCTCGAAAACGAGGTAAATGGAACTATCACCATATGATTAGATTCTGGTTCAGATTAATCTTTGAGTTGCCAGAACTGGAAGGTATCGAATATTTGATGCGTTTAGATGACGATTCGAGAATTCTTGGAACTTGGCCTAATGTATTCGATATAATGAAGTCAAAAAACGCCGTTTATTTTGCAAATGAGGAAAGGCATGAATTCGAAGCTTCGCTACCCGGAACCATGAACCTGAAAAATCTAACAATCGACTATCAGCAATCTACCAAAATATCGGTACAGGATCCGATCAAATTGAACCAGGCACTACTGGGTAGAAAAAATGCAGTGTTGTCTTACTACAATAATTTTGAAATAATGAAACTTTCTTTTTTCCGCAACAAGAATGTGCAATCCTGGATCCACAATGTCGATTCAAGTTATGGAATATTTAAATATCGATGGGGCGATGCCGTTCTTCGTTATATCACTTTGGCCCTATTCGCAAAACCGAGCGAAGTACTTCATAGATCTCATTACAATTTGTCATACTGTCATCCCTGCAACCATCCCACATAGAAAATATAGGAACGAAGTCTGGAAACGAAATATTTATAGTCTAGAAGAGACGAATGCAACTTAATACTTGACTCTATCGAGAACAGCTTTTTTTAACAAGTTATAACTTGTTCCGTAGAAATTTCTGTAGCCGAGTACTGATATGCCATGCTGTTTCTTTAACGTGGTCCTAGCCTGTTTGTAACTATTTTCTTTTGATACACTTTCTAGCACGCGTTTATCGCTTGAATTATTTTTTCTAGCTGACAATTCAAAACTCCACGAGTTGCCTAATTCGAATTCGAATATAAATGGAGACATAACTGCCCATAATTACTTCGAAAACAAATGGAAAGAAAAGCGGCACCCATGTTAAAATAGCACAAAAGCAAAAGAAATAGTTTTATACAAATGAGAAGGCGCACCCATGTATAAATAGCAAAAAAGCAAAAGAAAAAGTTTTATATAAATTCATAAGTGAGAGGGTACATGATTCAGGTGCTACAGTCCTCACCTGAAGTGCTATTAGCATCACCTGACTTGCTGGGATGCTACTAGAAACATCTCAGATTCTACAACCATCACTTGAAATGCTCCTAGCGTCACCTGAGGTAGCACGGATATCACGCAGAAAGATAGAAGGCACATCTGAGACGTTCCAGTCACCAGTGGGGGCTCCTTAGAAACCGTTTTCGTGTAGCCCTCGAGAGTATATTGTAGCTACAAATGTGACAAGCAAAATTATGCTAACCAATTGCGTATACTTTGGCATTCACCTTGCTTCGAATAATACTAGGGTCATTTGTAGTGTGGCATAGTTGTTACTCATCCGCCAAAAACAGGTTTTCCCCGCGTAACTGACCTTCTTATTTATAAATTTATAATTTATATAAAATTTTTTCTTTTGCTTTTTTGCTATTTTAAGGGGTGTGTGTGTTTCCCAACACACACCCACATGGGCAGTTAACAAATTTTTCCTCTCAAATCATTTTTGATTAGGTTATGTTGTAGACCGAGAAAAGATAGCGGCACTAGTTCGGTTTATTTGTTACTGAAGTATTTTCTCTTGATGCGATAACACAACTTGAATGCTGTTCAATACACAGGTTTCAAATACATATTAACATCAATTCGACATAATTAAATCTAACGACAATCATTTAGGAGAAAGATATTGAACATCCATGTTTATGACGATATTCAACTTTTAAAATTAATGACTATCACAACAAAACGCAAACTAGAGAGGACGAATTCAAGGGTGGTTGACCATACTTTGCTCAATAACTAATAAATAAGATCAAAACATTGGTATAAGAAAACTAGCTGATGTATAATCAGCATAGTAATTGCTCATTGTTATTTGTTCATCCGTGTATTAAAAAATTTATATGAATCTATAATCAAAATAAGAAGAATCTTCATGGTTTATATTATTTTTAAGTGTACTTTTAATGATGGCAAATTAATTTCGTCAAAATAAATGCTTATCTTATCTATTTGATTATTTCCTTGAATTCAATAGAAAGTCAAGTCATTTCTCTCTTTTTCTCAGGAATGTACTAAAAAGAAAAGCAACTTGTACACTTTTAATTACAGATAAAATAGCTAAAACTAATGATTGGTCAAGAGAAACATCGAAGTCTCGAACCAAATTATTTGAAATATCTGAAGAAACAGAAAAAGATTCATGATAAATAAGATAACGGCAAAGAAAGATTTGAAATGAATAAGCTTTGGTTTTCCTTGTTTGTTTTTTTAAAATAATCAGTTTAATAAAAATTTTCCTGTAAATAAAGGAAGTAGAAAGCATTTATCATTAAATCAACTATGGCAATCAATTCTTGTAGCTGCAACAACAATTGGATGACGGTTTGTTGGGGAATTTTATTATTTCAAGCTGATTGTCAATTCGAATTTTTCATTAATTCTAAGGTGAAAAGTTAAATTTTCAGAAGAATTTCTATCAACTATTCAGAAAACATCGAACGATTGTACATGATTGAGATAGTGGGTATGCGTGTCTTCTATTCATTCATATCGTATTTTTCAAGCGATGTTCTCAACTTCTACTTATGTATTGAAAGAGATAATATTTCTGTGTATAAGACGAGAACTTTCTCATACACTAGACGAAGGTAGAACTTCTTTTTTCCTTATTGTAATTACATTATCGATGAGCGGGAACTAATTCTTTTTGTTTTTTTATTCCTCAGCAAAATCCAATTTGAGAAAACAATATGAACGCTTGACTCGATTTAATTGTAGCTATGGATGTGGGCAAGATTATTGTTTCCTTCCACACCCACGCCATATCTATTAATAGATATTTATCTTTATTTGATATGACAATAACAAATCCATTATTGCAACAAAGTACTTGCTTTTACAGTTATTTTTTTTTTTGCTTGTAGATTATATAGTGATAAAAAATTTTTCTCGATTACTTAATAGTAATGGATTATGATTGCTTTAAGGATATAGTGAAGGTTAATTTGTATTGTTTTTGTTTTAATAACTGACTCTGAAAATATTTTAGATATTAGCAAATCTCATTGATAATACAACAGAGATTGATGAACTTGAAATTTATTTAAGAAAAAGAATCGAAACAACATTTAAAGCTAATGATTATGAAGATAAGCAACGTATAATACCACTACTAATTACATTAGAAAACTTAAACTATTTAATTTTTAAGCATAGGCAAAGATTGTTAACGATTAAACACATTTATTAAGGATGTTGATAAAGACAAAAAAGTTATTTTAATTGAAAAGTGAGTGAATATAATACCACCAAGTCGAACAAACACAGTCGTAAGCGACTATATGCGAAGAAATACGAGAGAGTGTGGGTGTGGTTTTTCTCGTCCCTCAAACGCATACACAAAAAAATTCTTACTGTTATGTTTTCAAAAATGGATCTCTATGTATTGTACCAAAAAGTATGTTGCCACAAAGTTTGTTTGTAGAATGATGATTTTGTATGAGATAACAGAACGATTGTTTTGCAGACAAAATAAAGTTTTACACGTTTTTGTGTTTAAAAAGTATTTGTTTTCAGTCCGAAAGCTTTAACCAAAATTCAATTGTGATTCACTGTTGAAGGATGAATTCGTCTACGATTGCGTCGATCAACGAATATAGTATTTTTTACATGAACACCGAATTTTTGCCATTGATGCCAAAAACGAACATCTAATGCTGCAACAATTATTGGATCACATGCTACTTCCACAAAACTAAGTATCGTAACGACATTCATCAAATTCTGCTGACGAACTGACACTTGAAAAATAACAATAAAGGGTGACCAAAATACACCCCAAATAAAATAAAAGCAAAGAAATTGAATAACTAATGAACGATGATATTTTTCACGAGCTGAAACATGATGTTGTGTCCGTTGTACAACTGATTTTAAATAAATATGACGAGCACTAGCATAAATCATCAGCATGTTCAGGAACATTGGTAATGCATATACGAAAATTGTATTAAATATTTGAACATAGATATTCGTATAAAATACTTCACAACTATCTCTAATAGGGTCTTCTATCTGAGTCCAACCAACAAGAAATTCAACGATCAAAATAACTAATGGTATTAAATAGATACAAAATTGAATGAAGATCAATAGTTTCATATGTCCTTGGTATACATTTCGATTGTATGCTATTTGTATATAACGAGATATATTCAAAGCTAATAGAAAATATATTTCAGTTATATTGAAATAATTATCCCCTATTGCTTCAAAATAGCAGTTAAATAAAACCCATGCTCTGCTTGGTCGACATACTGTAGATGTTGTATGTATAATATAACTAAACAAGAAGCGAAAAAGAAGAAAAACATCAGTGAAGAGGTACGCATAGATCCATAGGAGTTTTGTTTTTCGAAGAGATGAAGAAAAACTAATTTGAAGCCAAAGTGTCAAATGCATAAATGAAACAATAATATAAGCATAAAGTAGAGGTTTTGTATTGTCAATAGTAGCTTGAGTCCATAAGAGAGGTTTTGAACATGTTATGTTCGTATCATTGAACAGCAATGTTGTCATTGTTACATTATCCATCTATAAGAAGAGATCTCTGCTATTAAAATGACAGTCGCTATAAAAGTTTCTGACGTATGTCTAGGAGTGCTGGAGTTCGCGTTCCCTTGGATCCCATTCCTTAGGAACGCGAACCCACTTGAAAACTCATTTCTATAAACTTTTGATCTTTCCGACACTTTTAGATATATGTTTCATTTCAATTTATACAAAGTCACTATGGGTTCCCGAGAATGGAACCCGCAACTGACACCCCCACATTTGTCATCCTGATGATGGTAAGAATTGCTTAATGAGGATAGAGATACTTAGGGCATACAAAAAGTAATGACGCCATTATCTGATTTCCGTATAAAAAGCTTGAAAATGTTTTCTTTTTTTTATACAATGATAGAAAAAGAGATGCTCTATTTTTCTATGCTTTTTCATCAATATTCAACTAATATCATATTTATAAAATTTCCAAAAAAACCAAAAAGAGCTGTTTGTTATGATATGTCATGGTTCATAGCTTCTCAAAAGAGATACTTTTGAAAAAAAAAGCTAAATATTTTTATTTGCTGTAGCTATTCACAGTTTGCGTATCGATTATAAACTCCGCAGCCATTTCAACATATCACAGCAATTAAAAAACTCATAGCTAATTACAAAAACCAATAGCTATTTATAAACTAATAGCCAGTTAAACAATATGAAGTATTTCTTTCACTATTGTTGTAACTATTGTAACTTTTTCATAGCTATGAGAATGGTTTTATAGATATTGAAAAAACTTGATATGCAAGATTATTTGAATAGCTAATCAATCTCTACGATGATTACGTACTTTTTTTGTATGTAACTTACAATTTGATATTGTTCTTCCTTTCTTTTCTAACTGTTATGTATAAATAAAATACCTTTCATAAACTCATAAAGAATCTATATATGAAAGACTAATAATATTATGAAGAAGAACAGCTGTATATATCCATATGTATGTATGTATGCGTATTGCAGACAAAATTGAATTTCATTACATGTGAAAACAATTTAGAATCCAAACTTAGTTGTTTCTCATATCTATCTTCACTATATTTTCCTGTCAAAACCTTATAATTCCATGTATACATATGTAATAAAAACACCTTGGTTTAAATCATTATTAAATTTTAACAAAAAAAATACTTTTTATGAATAGAAAAAAGGAAAACAAGGTTTTCCACGTTGTCTTAATATTCAATTCATCTATAAACATAATTGTTTCTAGAAAACTAATAACGATACTTGTATATCAGAATAAATTTTTCTATGAACCACTTCAGATAACCCGCAACCAACCCTTGCTTAATCGATGATCACCGATTTAAGTCATTTTTACACACGCAGTAGAGGCCACTGTTTGATGAGTTTCTATTAGCACCCGGCATGACCGACTTTTTTGGTCATGGTCACGTCACGGTCCTTCTTTCTGGTTCCTTAACATGAAAAAAACTTTCCAAAAAGAGCTATTGCAAAGTTTCTGTTTACTATTAGAAGTGATGATCGGAAGGGAGAGGGTAGCTTCGCGGAGGTGTCTATACTTCCCCTCAGAGATTTCCAAAATTTCAAAAAAGTTCTCGTGACTGATCGTGACTAAGCTCCAGTCACGGTCATGGATGAAGACGCATCAAATCGTATATTACCGATTTTTCTAAGCTATTTTTTGTAAGGTTTCCAGTTGATCTTTTAAAGAACAAACCTTTCTCGCGAGTTGTTTACAATGAATTTTTAGTAATCAGGTTCACATCCAAACTACTACTAATCAGAGCTCTGCAAACTGCCAAAACTGAGATGTTTAGATTTAATTTTTCAGAAATAATATGTATTCTAGTCGAACCTCTACTACAAATTTCTAGCAACCTTTGTACTTTATTCTTTTTTCATGAAAAACGCACTTTTCGGACGGTTAGAAAATTGAATAAAAAAAAACAAAGCTTCAGAAATCATATTAGAAAAATCTTAATATA